TACGTTGTTGTCCTTCACATAAAAGAAATTGCGTTTTAATCAAATATTTTGTCGTGGACATTACACAGGTTCCTCAAGTTCGTCCATTAATCAAAGGTCACAGCCCCTTGCTTATTTACTGACTTGTCATAGCGAGACAATTTGCTCAGGACTCGCATGTTTGTGGATATACCCCTATGACGTCACGTAATGTCCACGACATATTATTCAATATTACGCAATTCCTTCTATGTGAGGCTCAGAATTTGTCAATGAGCCCTGGTATATCTCTAGAGCATGAACTAAACGTCAGTGGACGTGTTTTACGTTCCCAGAGTTTATGGTTTGTTTTGCGTTCAATTTAACAATAGTTAAGTTGATGCTGTGTAGATCTAGATGCAGTTAATGACAAACGAATTTATCACCCAAAACTGGCTCCCACGGGAGATATCGCTTGGATTAGATCAAGCGATATCTACACTGTAGATATCGCTGCAATGAAATTACATCACAATGCTTTGCAGACCAATGTGACGTCACTGGTTACCATGACATCACAATCAAATGACAACATTAATGGCCCTGCTACTGAAGCTGTTTAGCAGTACTTTTTACACTGAAGACAATGCTAATTACTGTCTACAAATTGAAAAAGTTGGCAGAATGATGTTTGATGATCAATAAAATCTCACCCTCGTGTCTTTTGATATCAAATATATCAACATTCGTTGATAAAAGTGGCAAAAATCCTCGGCAAGTCTCGGAATTATTCCACTTTTATCAACTCGAGTTGATATATTTGATATCAAAAGACACTCGGGGGCGATTCTCTACATATGCCACACATTCATTTAATTTACATTCTAATTAGTATATATTATACATGAGTGAGTGAGTGAGTTGTTTTACTTTTTTTTAAAGTATACATTTATATCATGAGGTGACAAACGGGATTGGGTGGTCAGGCTCGCTGACTTGGCTGATGTATTTCATTGTATACCAATTGCGTGGATCGATGCCCATGATATCAATTACTGGATTGTCTGGTCCAGATTCAATTATTCTGACCGCAGTCATATAGCTGGAATTTTACTGAGTGATGCGCTAAACAACAAACATACAAACAAACAAAGCGAATCTGCTTCATGTGGTGAAATTCTGAAATGATACCGTCAAGATTTTTACCACCGAACACGGATTTGACTCTGATAAACCCACGTTAATCGTTGCCTGACATGGCTAAGGGACGCAACTCTGAACCATTGAGCTGCCTATTGATCCCTAATAAACATAGAGTAAATTAATATACCTGTTTACATTTTCCCATATCTCGGCACAATTCTGTAATCCTATTAGATAACGATTTACAGCATTCCCTCTATGTCGACATCAAAAACAGCGATGAGAATATGACGTCACTAAGATATGCAGCAAACAGTATGTTTTTAATGATTACACCATATATATGTTGTTTTTCCATTGGACATGGGGCCGATCACATAACCAAACTGACACATTTTGATGTTGAGGCGGTTTTTCACGAGACTGTATTCTTGGAATGACGGACGACTTCCACACCCCTGGGGGTAAAACCCTGGGCGTTACCCTGCGCGAGTGTATACGGAAGCGTTGTTTCTGATCAGAGAGTTTGACTGTATGCCTGTTCACGAATATTCTCGCTACGACCTATCGTAGTTAACAAAGGGAAGAAATGCACATTTCAACTATGGAGTCGATCCTTGCTTAGTCTGACAGTAACAGTCTTCAGAAATCTATTTTTTTCTATTTGACACATCTTTATAAACTCTCCATGATTGGTCATTTGATGACTGATAACTAACACTTGTAATGGCCACAGATTCATTAACAACTTCGGAAATATCTCCCCGTCACTTTTATTGTGTCGGCCATTTTGACGTGATGTATTAACTCGATGTAAATGTATCATAACCCTCTGTCAGTGGGACTAACCTACTGAGGTAGTTCGCATCAAATGATATAATTATTTTCATCTGGTTGTTGTTGCTGGAACTAACGTGTATACAGTTTGCCACGCAATCTATGAAGGTTCAATCTTCAATGGACTCCCAATAGCATATCGAATTCTATATAGTCATGGCGTCTTGCCAAATAACACATACAGCTAATCTTGGCAATGACCACATCAGATTATGTGACTGGTAAACGTAGCGGTATACTGTAGAAAGACGAGTTACCACGCCCACCTTATCACGAGACACTCTTCTCGAATTTCAGCAGAGTCATATACAACAGTACAGGGCATGGCTATAAGAGACGGGTGTTTTGTTGCACAACATCAAGACAGACAGTTGGCATACGTCAGACACCGGGATAGAATAACACCTGACACTCTGCTTACGTGGTATGTGGATGCGCGATAAGCTATACCGATGTCAACAGTTGGTCATCTGTGACAGGGGGCAGGGGTGGCCCAGTCGTCTGAGGCGCCGCGATTTGCATCGAAACATAATATCAAATCTTTGGATACGTTATCTACAGCAGGCCAACACTCACAGGAGAACACAACTCATCGTTGTTAATGGCAATTTGAATGGCGTACGCTACCGGGGACAACATCATTCGAGATCATGATCTACCCTTTGCAGCACGATAGTGCCCGCCCACACGCCGGATGTGTTGTAACAGACCCTCGGAGGCAGCACAACATTGCTTTACTGCCATAGCCGGCTGTTTCTCCAGACTTCTCCCGAATAGAAAAATGTCCGAGATTAAATGGAACGACGCCTACGACAGCACCAGAACCAGTCGGTAACGCGAGTTCAGTTGGGCCAATATTTTATTGACATTTGGTGCAACGTCCGCGAGGCTGTTTTCAATCATGTGATGTCTTCAATGCACCGCCGCTGCCTCGCCTGTTTCAACGTTAATTGTGGTCTGTATCATTTTAACTGAGTTGCTGTAACACCGTCTGTCTTTCAGGGTGTGTCTCCTATTACCAAGCAGGGGTTTTATCAATGAATTTGTTATGATAAAACATTGATCAGACGAATAAACTAATATCAGGTTCTTATTTTCAAAAACATAACATTTGCACCACTTTAAACGAACCACAGTAACTTTTGTCTGCTAGTTTAGTTTCCGCGAAAGCAAGTTTTCAAAAGTGAAACCAACCTTGACACTAGTGACATTTCATGTTCAGATCACAGTTGATTTCACCCCTCTTTAAAAGTGCATGCGACTGGGCAGATCTCTGGATTTAGGCCCTGTATAGAAATTCCTAACATATCATCAAGCTGAACTACCGGGATAAAACCCATGCCTCACTCATCTGTGCAGATTAATACAGCTATAACTATGTAAATGTATGTTTCTCTTTGTTAAAAGACGTTAAAGGGCAACTACCCTGCATGAAGCTCGGCATTAATGAGATAGCACAAGGACAGGTAGGTTCTAAGTGAGTAGACTGTTTCTCACTGGGGTATCCATCTTAAACTGTGGCATGGTATCTAAGTGGGCTGACACTACAAAACGAACATTAGTGGTGACAAGTAGACATCATGCAGAATGTCGCTATATAAGTGTAATAATCTATAACGTGACGTTAAGCTCCACCTCATCTTTAGGGCTCAGTCGCACATTCAGGATTTTTAATGCCGTCCTTGATAGGACCATTCCCGATTAAAATTTGTCAAAAGTCTGATCAAGATCCTGTGATTCGTGGCGGGAAATTCACAAACAATCAGATATTGTTCAGGAAGCGTCCAGATTAAGCCGTTTCTAGCCGAATTCGTCTCGATTCTCCCGTTTTCAATCCGAATCTGATCCGATTTGTATCTTCCGCATGGTAAAAACGACCGAATCTGTCCCGACAGCGTCCATATGCGATCCGACAAAGATCAGACAGTGACCGGACAGTGAACCGACAAAGACGGTTCGCATTCGGCAAGATCTGGACGCAATCTGGACTCATTGGACCAGAAAAGGCAATGAACAATTCATGCCCGTTCATCACGACAGCGTCCCGATCCACAGGACACCGTCCAGACAACACAGGACAGTGTTACGATTTTGATCCGATACAGCAGAACAGAGTCACGACTAGACAAAATCGGCTGAGTTTCCCGAACGTTACGGGACGCACCATACTGTCAGGAGTGCTTGGCCGACCTCTCTGGACCTTTCACGATCCGTATAACTCTGTTACGACTGACTGAGTATGGTTTTACGCCGCTTTTAGCAATATTCCAGCAATATCACGGCGGGGGACACCAGAAATGGACTTCACACATTGTACCCATGTCGGGAATCGAACCCGGGTCTTCGGCGTGACGAGCGAACGCTTTAACCACTAGGCTACCCGACCGCCCCTAAACTCTGTTACGAACATATATGACCGAGTTCAGACAATGATAAGAATTCCAGATCATTGAGGATAGTAATCCGACTTTTTCACTTTTCGTGCCGTAGTGCTGTCTGAGAGAGAGAGAGAGAGAGAGAGAGAGAGAGAGAGAGAGAGCACAGCACAGCACAGCACAGCACATTAAAGTTCTAACACTCAGGCACAATATAGTAAATATTAAATAAGTGAAACTTATTAAACTTATTAAATAAAAAAACTTTAAATATATATGAGGATTGACACATTGTACCTGGTTAATTTTTAAATTGTATATTCCACACTTCTTAAACAAACAAAAGCAATAAATTATTGTTTTCTATTAGTCGTTTAGATTCGGTTTGGATTCCGTTAAAACGGAGCTTGGCTTCACGTCAATCTATCTGAATCTGCTTGCAATAAAATAGTTTTAACTATTATATATTGTCGATAATGTTCAAGGACAATCCGACGATTCATCTTTGCTTCTTTTGGTTTATTAATCTGCGGAACTATTTTGGTTGTGATAGTTTGCTCCAGAACATGATTCTTCATTCTGCGTGCGTGCGTGCGTGTGTGCGTGCGCGTGTGTGCGTCCTGGCGTGCGTGCGTTCTCCATTATGAAATATAATCCAATCCATCCATCAGTATCGTCAATTCAATTTGCCAGTAAAAAGAAGCGCTCTTAAAATATGCATTAAGTTACTCTAACGGTGACAAATTGGTGCCGTGCAGTTTCCCAAGCGCTCATAATACTAGGACAATCGTGTCTATTGCATCAAGATGATTTAAAACATAAAATGCACAAATATCGGCACGAGAAACACAAACAATTCATCGGCTAGTCATTCCTAATGTTTTGTTGATGGCCACCTGGGATGGTCGACAGCCCCAGATGAACACACCATTTACGTGTAGTTCGGTGAATGTGTCATCGTAACTCTGAGCTCTTGAATCGTCGTGTTAATCATCTCGTGTCGTAGATGTAAGTCTGCAACACAATCAACGTTCACTGAACCGCTAACAGCGAGACACAAATAGGGAATAAAATATCAGCCCAAATGTAGCCTACCTATCTACTGATTTGTCACCACCTTATAGAGCATTGCTTGAAACTTTGAATCTTCAATAGTCGTGGCTATGTTAAAAGCGAAGAATTGTTGAATGGTTGATAAGTGTGGTCGTATAAGGAATGGGATCACACAATATACCCATATTGATCATGAAAACCGGGTTGTCTGCGTGAAAATCGAACAAATCAAGGCTGTAACTCAGTAGTGAGTGAATGAGTATACTATGGTTTTACCCACTTTTAGCAACATCTCGGTAACGAAGAACAAGCAAATCAACTAAGAGCAGAAACTCCTCCACAACACAATCAAACTCATTATTATCAGTTCCTTGTAAGTGATTAAGAAGATATCTGAAGTAAATCAGCCAGTCACTTGGAGATATATAACTTCTCAGTGGACGTCTCTGTATGGCCCTTTTCACTGTCTTCCAAAACTGTTTGCAATCACTGTGTTGATTTCTTCATGTGTATGTAAGCCATACATAACGTTGTAGCATTTGATGATACAGTAAACCATAAAGACGTTGACATACAAACTGACTTGACGTTAGGGGTCGCCAATTTTGATATTCCAGAGAGTGGAGGAGGAGTTCCTAATATGCGAGCGATCGGTCCCTAATCAGCACACAAGGTTCGTGCTCTGTGAGATGCACGGGCGTTGATTATAAGAGAACTGGTCTTGCTAGTCTTCATCCTCCGAGGAATCAAGATTGTTCACCCCCCTCTGCATCATCTGATGGAGACGGGAGTCCAATGTCGAGTTGTTGTCGCGGCTGTTGTTACCGTCATCACGTCGTTTTGTAGTCACGCAAATGGTGTTTGGCCTTATCTGGGTGTCGACACTAACATGGTGTAACACCATTCCGCCAGAAGAACTCGACCTCAAGTCATGGCTGTCGGTTTTGTTGGATCTGTCTTGTTTAGTTTCTGAAAACCTGACGTCATTCGACGTTGCTCTGTCATACGCTTCCCGCATTGTCTGACGGTGTTTGTGAAACGGTGCGCAGAACGAATGCGCATCAACGTCAACAATCTTCTCGACTTCCTTCTCTACTTCCGGTTTGGGTCGCCTCCTTGTCTGCGCACGTTTTTCACGTTTTACCTCCATGCGCATGTCAAATTCATCCAGACTCATACTCGGAATGCTTCCTCGTCGTAATACTCTGTAGTTGTGTTTCTGCTCGTCTGACAAACCACGGGGGTAGATGATGGTTTTAGCAGATCTGGGATTAATGTTCGACATGAACTGTTGTAGGTCACTCACAGTGTGCTGGAGTTTACAGGACTTGGTCTTCAACTCCGAGTCGAGGGTATTAATTGTCCTCACCAGGTGGCGCTCGTATGACTTGTTCCTTGCTCGTGCAGCGTCCATGGCCTTCGTGTCCTTCATAGCTGGCAATCCAAACAGAGGATCCATCCCTCAGATTCTGAAACAAATACAAAAGATCACCTTTACGTGTGTTTGTTTGTTTGTTTGTTTGTATGTTGTTTTACGGTAGAATAGATCTCGGCAACGTATGTAGTAAACGGCAACTTAATGCGACTCAGGTTTATTGGTTTGTTTGCTTAACGCCGCACTGAGTAATATTTCAGCTATATGACGGCGGCCTGTAAATAATCTGGACCAGAAAATCATAGGCATCGATCTATGCATTTGGGATACGATGACATGCACCAACAAAGTCTGCGACCCCGACAACCTGATCCCGCTAGTCGCCTCTAACACGGGACACGGATGGCCCAGTCGTCTAGGGCTTCTCTATTCGCTGTCTAGAGCTGCGTTGCTTGGGCACACCAGAAACCTATGGTTGTGGGTTCGAATCCCGGTTCACCCCGATTATGGGGTTTGTCAGCAGTATACCCTTGTTTGTGGGTTTCACCAAGGTGATAAACGTCTAAGGCCTGCATCACTTCATGCTTTCCTACCACATCAAGCTGATACGCCGTGATATACGAGTAACCGGAATACTGTTAAAAGCGGCGTTAAACCCAACCCACTCACTCACTTACTACAAGTATGGGTTAATGTATCAGGTGGTTAGGCTCAGTGACTTGGCAGATAACGTGCCTTTGTACCCGACGGCATGGGACGTTGCTCATATCAATCACTGGCTGGACTGATTCAGACTCGATTACTTACAGGCCACCATCAAATAGACTGGGGGCGGTGTGGTAGCCTTGTGGTTAAAGTGTTCGCTCATCACGCCGAAGACCCGGGTTCGATTCCCGACATGGGTACAATGTGTGAAGCCAATTCCTGGTGTCTCCCGTCGTGATATTGCTGAAATATTGCTAAAAGCGGCGTAAAACCAAACTCACTCACTCACTCAAATAGACTGAATATGGCTCAAAGGTCCCATGCGTCGTTGTTTATAAAATTTAGAATATTTCGCTTGGACCGGATTGGCGGTATAGCATCGCACATAATCCAATCCGAGGCGTCCAAAGTGGAATTTGTGTCCGACGGCTATTGTCCTGAGCAACGTGAACTTATAGAAACAATAAGGTAAATGTCAGTGATGAGGCGCAGTCTCGGGTATATTAATCAGTTGTACATGTATATTCCATATCACTTTTTACATTGTTATTCTGGTATAAACAACACTGGCAGTCATGGTTTCCCCTTGCCTTGATTGGTTAACCTTGTCAGTCCAACATGTATGTGCCATCGAGCGTCGAGGCGGGTATGTGAACAGGTAGTGTAAAAACATGAACTTTGTAACGTCATGAAAATCTGATATACTTGATTGATAGCATTAAAATATACACAGAAACGTCACAATTTACAAGAGATTGATTATCCATAGTCTTGTCTTAGTTCCGACTCTAAATGCCATTCCAACATCGAATTGTATAAGGGGGCACGGGTGGCCCAGTTGTCTAAGGCGCCGCGATTCGCTGTGCAGAGTTGCGTCCCTTGGGCACGCCAGAAACCTATGATTGTGGGTTCGAATCCCGGTTCGCCCCAGTTATGTTTCTTGGTTTGTCAGCACCATACCCGGGCTCGTGGTAAGTGGTAAGCGTCTGAAACCTGCATCACTTCGTGCTTTGCTCCCACATTAAGCTGACACGCCGCGATATGACTATAATAATGTTAAAAGAGGCGTTAAACCCAACTCACTCACTCACTCGAATCATATATACTTAATACAAATATACAATACCTGGACAAATACTTGCATTTCTGTTACAAAATGTAGAACTTATGTCAATTATCACACCGTAAATTCTAAATAAAAGCGAACAAAAACCTTTCCGTATTCATAAGAAATATCTTCCAAAAGCAGAGTCGATTGTACGATGCCGGATTTATCATTACAATTAAATAGTGATGATACCAGAAAAGGTGAGCGTATCCTGCCGCACCGGTGACACCCGTCACAAACACATGCAAAGGCAATGTTGGGGTAACTTTTTCAAGATTTTTCAAGAAGCTACATTAAAATACATACGAGGTGAATCAGGGGGAATCAGTGTTTGAAGTCCGTTCCTCAGGGAGACGCAGATATTAGGGTAGTGAAGCCGCAGGGGGACAGACAGTCTGATATCACCCGCACTACCCACCACAAGTGTTGCTAACTTTGTCCCCAGGGGGTAGGGAAAGAACTCGGTACCCATCAATCATTAGACTTCTCCCCGACGACATATAGAGAGCAAACTTGTGTAATTAGTTAGTGGAATCCTCACCAGGGGGCGGTACAAAACACGTGACTCCCTGCTTATATCAAGTTCGATCTCGTGTCAGTCATCCTTGACTGTTTCCAGAAAGGGGAACACGAATCTGTGGATATCTTGATTAACCATGGAACTTCAGCGTAAATTCTTAAAGGGGGACTACACGGGCTAATTGGCAGTCCTAGCAAGTTTACTTCAAAAACCTCTTTGAAACAGACAATTACCGCTTTGTTTATTTATAAACTATTTTTTTATGTTCGAGACACAATCCAACAGTTAAGGGTTACAGTATGTCAGAGGGGCGGTCGGGCAGCCTAGTGCTTAAAGCGTAAGCTCGTCGGGCCGATGTTCGATTCCCGACATGGGTACAATGTGTGAAGCCATTTCTGGTATCCCCCGCCGTGATATTGATGGAATATTGCTAAAAGCGGTGTAAACCATACTCACTCACTCACTCACAACAGTATGTCAGAGAGACAACGTCTCACGTGGATCTTAATACAACACCAGGATCTAGTATATTACAGATCAGGAGTGAGGCTACGGATCAGGGACCACACCCATCCTATTATCGCGATGAAAGGTCAAGTCTGGGGTTAGCATTATCTCATGATTGTCGTTATATTGACATATGCATAACAACACAACCTTGTTCAACCCTTAAGCAATAAGTACGTTTAAAACGATTGAAAGCAAATTTGAAAAACACTCAAAGATTCATTTATTCCTCTACTTCAATTGAACACTCGTTATTAAATCAGTGGACATTGAACCTATCAAACTACTTATACCTATTGCTCGGCAAGTGGTCGGTCAATCAGGAAGCCATGATTCATATCATATGTTCAGTTATATCAAGTAAGCGCCTGGCACGAACGTCTGTGTCATCATCATCCATTGTAGCATGATTGATGATGATTTTAACTTGAAAACATGAACCTTTCTATGGATAACAACTTCTTTAGTGTTTGAATGAAGGAACAAGAAAGAGCCTGAAACATCGTTACAAAAAAAATATTAATAAAAAGTATCATGACGCCATGTTCATCCAACTTCTAAATGCCTAGCAAAGGCATATTTTGATTTGATCGTAAAACCCAGTTCAAGCTTCAAGTATGTATTAGGTAATCCCTATCTGTTTGAGTTTTGTTTTCACTGTTGTTTAGTCAGCAACATTCCAGTTATATGACCGCGTTCTGTGTGTAATCCAGTGACTGACATCATGAACATCGGTCTATGCTATTGGGATACGATGACATGCATCAACCAAATCAGCGAGTCTGACCACCCCGTTAGGAGAGGGTCATCGTTTTGTGTGGGGCGCGGGAAAGGGGGATCGTGTGGTTACAATAACCACTGACTATGTTTAGTATAAAACACACCTTCCCGGTTTTAGTTATAAATGTAAAACCTTGGGCTAGGGACACACCGAATGCTTTTCTGGAGGTCAAGGCATTACATTTTCAACCAAACCCGGGGAGGCGTGTTTTATCCAACTTACGAACTGTCCAAATTCAAGAAATACCATTCAAAGAAAACATCGACATACCTTATAGTGAAAAAATACATTGTATCGCGGTATAATAGGAATTCGCCCAAAGCGTGCGAGAGAAAAAACACGTGCAGCATGGACTAACTGGAGTCATGACGTGAGAAACTGAACAACTTCTCATCACTTGCCCAGGTAGCTCAGCGGGAAAACAGTGGGTTACAAATCTTAACACGATATGTAAAATTGCAGGTTCGATTCACGTCATGGAATTTTCATGTTATAAAAAATGTAAGAGGCAATTTTATAAAACGTTAATTGTACAACCTAGGTATTACAATTGAAATGTGTTCATCTGGTCCAGGGCATTGTTGATATTGCCTGTCTGCCTTCTGTTTTTGCAGTGTTGCGTCATCAGAGCTTTATACATGTTGTGCTTTGTAGTGTTACGTGATCTCTCTTGTACCAACAACATGAGAAGACCCTGGCACGGATCTAATGAATGTTTCCCCATGCATCGTGAGTGAGTCACGCTAAAGCTGCTATCAATTCCCATCTCGTTGATCTACCGAGGTAAACAGTTCAGATGATGAATTATTTATTGATCGACTGTTAATCCACGTTATCGTTTACAGCAGACACGCTATTTACAAAACTGAAATTGATTTCTGTAAGCGTTGTTTTAAACAATGTCATAATACAGAGGATAGTTGGGGGCAGTGTCAATATTTACAAGATCCAATTACAATACGTTCAGTGGGCAGAAAAGGGGATTTAGGGGTAAATTAGAATATTTATTATTTAACGTATGTCGGTTATTACAAAGTATTGGATCTTCTTGCATGATAGATAAACGACTGAACAGTATTAAATACAAACTGCCTTGGAAACTAAGATATACACATGAAACTTGGGTGTGACCAAAAATATACAAACGTTATCAAAATGTTACAGTCGCCGAAACACTGCAAAGGTCCAAAACAAAACTATGCTACCCGTATCATATACATTACCATCGAATAACTATTCTTGCTTGTTTCATGTTTAGCCACCATCAAACAAACAGGGGCGGTCGGGTAGCCCAGTGGTTAAAGCGTTTGCTCGTCACGCCAAAGGCCCGGGTTCGATTCCCCGCATGGGTTAATTTTGTGAAGCTCATTTCTGGTGTGATATTGCAGGAATATTGCTAAAATCGGCTAAAAACCATACTCACTCTCTTAGCCACCATCAAACATGAGTGTATACTTCTTGTGCCCGGCAGTTTAACATACTCTAGTATTTGGTATCTGACGGAAATGTGTTCACAACTATCTTATTCAAACTTGTTAACAATTCAACACGTTGGCGATTAACATTAAGTAATGAAATGTTTTCACATGGATCACAACATTGAATCTCTAATAATGCTTGTTCTGTTAAAATAATAATATATAACTTAACGTTTAATACTTATAACTGAACATGCATATTGCCCAGTGTTTGTTGTTATTGTTTGTTATACCATGACAATTGTATGCTGTCGGCCCATGTTCATACATTTACGCATGGACAGTCAAACATGTCGTTCACGTTTTGCACAGTAGATAATCATAGCTCGACGTTTGACATCATGCATATTTGTAGATAAAACACATGATTCGATCATGGATGGTGGACGACTCTGGATGGAGGATGCATCTCTCATGAGAGAGTTGAGAAACATTCTGAGGAATGAACTGGACAGGACAAAGGGTTAAGCACGCTGGCTTCCAAGGCTTATGACTCATGATCAGAAATGCTTCATCTCTCGTTTTGTTGTTGTTGTTGTTGTTGTTGTTGTTGTTGTTGTTGTTGTTGTTGTGTTTTAACGCCCCACTCAGCAATATTCCAGCTATATGACGGCGGTCTGTAAATAATCGAGTCTGGACCAGACAATCCAGCGATTGACATCATGAGCATCGACCTACGCAATTGGGAGACGATGACATGCATCAACCAAGTCAGCGAGCCTGACGACAAGCATAGTCGTCTCTTACGACAAGCACAGTCGCCTCTTACGACAAGCATAGTCGCCTCTTACGACAAGCAGTCGCCTCTTACGACAAGCAGTCGCCTCTTACAACAAGCACAGTCGCCTCTTACGACAAGCATAGTCGCCTCTTACGACAAGCAGTCGCCTCTTACGACAAGCACAGTCGCCTCTTACGACAAGCAGTCGCCTCTTACGACAAGCATAGTAGCCTCTTACGACAAGCATAGTCGCCTCTAACGACAAGCACAGTCGCCTCTTACGACAAGCATAGTAGCCTCTTACGACAAGCATAGTCGCCTCTAACGACAAGCACAGTCGCCTCTTACGACAAGCATAGTCGCCTCTTACGACAAGCATAGTCGCCTTTTACAGCAAATCATTTCTTGTAAGAATTTACGTCGTTTCGAAGCGGACCCAGCTGATTTTGTTGAGCGATTTGTAACCATGGATGTGTCTTGGGTTCCTCACTACCAGCCAAAGACTGAACAACAGTGAAAGCAATGGAGACATCTAAAGCAAAGTCTGTTCCATCAGCTGGCAAGGTTATGGCTTTGGTGTTATTGGGATTCCAAAGGAATCCTTTTGTTGAACCACCTCCTGGATTTTAATACCATCAATGGTCAATATTATACTTATCTGCTCAGGCAACCGTGCGAGAATATCCAGGATAAATGCATAATCAGGCTAAGAACCTTTCAGTCACCCCTCGTACGTTGCACAATCATCGAAATATGGTCCTCACCCTCAATATACCCTTCATTGCAAAACTGGCACAATCTCGTTATAGTATAACCCCGGTACCTGGAACCTGACCCAAAGCGACACTTATTGCAAAACTGTTATTAATCTAAGATATAGTTCACTTTCGAAGACACCTTTGAATATATATAAAAAGACAAGGCAAGGGAATAACCAGTCTCGATTATCAGACAGAGATATCATTTGGAGTAAAGGGCAAAATAGATGTATAAATTAATGAATGGACCACTGAAAATCAGTGATGACACCCGGCGTTCGCGAAAAAGGTAAGCATGTAGCACCCGGCATTCACACAATTTGAAGAAAGATTGATTCATGGTTAATTTCTTGTTTTTGAATTGCTGAAAAGGGAGACATGCCAGGTTGTATATATTTTTGTTCATTGTTACATACAGTGTATGCATACATATACATGGCATGGTCTGTAATGTGTGTACTCTGGCGAACTGTACATTGTTATCGGGGAAGTTAGTATTTGCATATTAATGTTTTGCTTCATCACGGAGTCAGGGTAGTTGGTATTTACATATAAATTTGTAGCCTTATCGTAGCCTTGTTAGCAACACAGGATGAAGGTAGCGGACATGTGTATGCTAGTTTATAGTTTTATAATAGCCTTGTTAACAACACAGGATGAAGGTAGTGGATATGTGTGTACTAGTATATAGCCTTATCATAGCCTTGTTAACAACACAGGATGAAGGTAGTGGATATGTGTATACTAGTATATAGCCTTATCATAGCCTTGTTAACAACACAGGATGAAGGTAGTGCATATGTGTATACTAGTATATAGCCTTGTCATAGCCTTGTTAACAACACAGGATGAAGGTAGTGGATATTTGTATACTAGTATATAGCCTTATCATAGCCTTGTTAACAACTCAGGGTGAAAGTAGTGGACATGTGTATGCTTGTATATAGCCTTATCATAGCCTTGCTAACAACACAGGATGAAGGTAGTGGATATATGTATACTAGTATATAGCCTTATCATAGCCTTGTTAACAACACGGGATGAAGGTAGTGGACATGTGTTTACTAGTATATAGCCTTATCATAGCCTGGTTAACAACACGGGATGAAGGTAGTGGACATGTGTATACTAGTATATAGCCTTATCATAGCCTTGTTAACAACACGGGATGAAGGTAGTTGACATGTGTATACTAGTATATAGCCTTATCATAGCCTTGTTAACAACACGGGATGAAGGTAGTGGACATGTGTATACTAGTATATAGCCTTATCATAGCCTTGTTAACAACACGGGATGAAGGTAGTGGGTATGTGTATACAAGTATATAGCCTTATCATAGCCTTGTTAACAACACAGGATGAAGGTAGTGGATATATGTATACTAGTATATAGCCTTATCATAGCCTTGTTAACAACACGGGATGAAGGTAGTGGACATGTGTATACTAGTATATAGCCTTATCATAGCCTGGTTAACAACACAGGATGAAGGTAGTGGATATGTGTATACAAGTATATAGCCTTATCATAGCCTTGTTAACAACACAGGATGAAGGTAGTGGGTATTTGTATACTAGTATATAGCCTTATCATAGCCTTGCTAACAACACGGGATGAAGGTAGTGGATATGTGTATACAAGTATATAGCCTTATCATAGCCTTGCTAACAACACGGGATGAAGGTAGTGGATATGTGTATACAAGTATATAACCTTATCATAGCCTTGCTAACAACACAGGGTGAAGGTTGTGGACATCTGTATGCTAGTATATAGCCTTATCATAGCCTTGTTAACAACACGGGATGAAGGTAGTGGATATGTGTATACTAGTATATAGCCTTATCATAGTCTTATTAACAACACGGGATGAAGGTAGTGGATATGTGTATACAAGTATATAGCCTTATCATAGCCTTGTTAACAACACAGGATGAAGGTAGTGGGTATGTGTATACTAGTATATAGCCTTATCATAGCCTTGTTAACAACACAGGATGAAGGTAGTGGGTATGTGTATACAAGTATATAGCCTTATCATAGCCTTGTTAACAACACGGGATGAAGGTAGTGGGTATGTGTATACTAGTATATAGCCTTATCATAGCCTTGTTAACAACACGGGATGAAGGTAGTGGGTATGTTTACAACATGGAATCAGGTACAGAGGAGCGTCTGGCAACTGGACACTGAATTTCATTAGTCGTAATCAAATCACTCTGATATGCAATAACCAGTCCCCATAGAACATGTCTGTGAGAACGCACCCAACATAACCCCAGTCATATCAATATAATCACACATGGTCAAATATATGTATAGCTTTATATTGACACTTACATGAAAGCTATTATCATCGCGTTACGTCTCCCATGGTGTGTATTTGGTTAGTGCTGACACGCCTATTGATGGTGTGGGTATACTCTCAGGTATAGAGACATTCAATACCCCCAGATCACACACCGGCCCACCTCTTCAGTATTATCACCTCCACCATTTAGTTAACACATGAGAGTAATATTAATTATGTTTACCTTTATAATCCAGGTGAATTTCTTGTCTGTACAGTCCAGAGATATGTTCTTTGGGGAACAAGGTTTTACGCGTCTTCTACACGGGAAACAGTTTTAAAGGTTTCATAAAGCGCGGATTGAACCCCTTCCTAGGTGTCAACGCTGATGTAAGGAGGGAAGATCCAGCTATCTCCCCACCTTGAAAGTAAAGGTAAGAGTAGATCCGACAGCTACTCAACATTCTCAGGTGAAAATCAATCAATTCAGACGGGTAGACAAGTGCTCGTTAATCCTCTTTAACATAGCATTGATCGCGCTCTCAAGGCATAGAGGGACGCTAGGAAAGGGGAGGAGTGTATTGGCATAGCACTCGTCCTTGTATGCAATTGAAGCCATAACAAGAATATACCACAAAGTTTACTTACGAGCATATTTGCTTCACTACCTTCAAAGTTTCTAATGAATTCATATTCTTCATATTGGATATAAAATGAACAATAGCCAATAAATAATGTAGTATTCGTCCCAGTCGATATTACGTATTGTTCGCTGTAATGTTTTGAATGGCTATAAACAATGTATATTTGGACACGATGACACACGAGACGGGTGGGTGTGTATTCAGTATGGGTCTGGTGCTTTGTGAAGCTACCCCCGTCATATACAACCCCCACCCACAACGCTGGGGATACCGATCTGTCCTCAAGCACTGAATTGTAAATTACTTTAGCGAGTTGTGCTGGACTGTTTGTCCAAGAGATCTCAGGTCTAGAGAGTTGCGTGGTAGTCGTCACTTTTTGTTTCATTAGATTTCACCTTGGGGGAGAAGTCTGACAGGTGGGAGTGTTGATTTAGGAAAGAGAGCTATTTTTATCCTCGCGCGTCGTTGAATGCGAATTAGTGGATATATGAGGTAGTTTGCCTCACGCGTTTCCATGCAACATTCGGGTTGTCATTAATAATGAATTATGTTCTTGTTAGTGTATAATTGCTGGCAGTTGGGATGAATAATTTTACAAACTTAGGGAATTACAACTTTGATTTCCGAATGAAAACATACAGGGACATCAAATGAAAACGATACTCCTACTGGAACGTAAATATATTTCAATTTGGAATAATATGTAAATATTGTCAGAATGCTAAACATGTGTGCTTGCCACGTAGAGAAGATCCCAGCTATGTGTTTATACTTAATGTTTCTCCCGACAACAAGTTGGGAGCGTATATTGTGCATGATATTGCGCTGAGGTCAATATTGTCGGTCAGTGTTCGTGCCTAGTTGGCAGTGAAGTTATATATTTCATCCAAAGCAATAGAATGAATGTGGTGGCTTGTTCTCTGTAAAGGGAGGTAATACTACATGCGAGCATTGAAAGGACACTGGATATGTGAGTGAGTTGTGTTTGACGCCGCGTTCTGTTCAGTTGTATCACGACGTGGCAGCTTAATGCGGAGGAACGCCGGACAGTTACGGGAGTCGTACACGTTTACTATAGTTTGAACCCGAGGAGTTTGCCTGATGCATACCGAGAATCATCATCAGGGGGAACCTGAAATAGGTTTACACTTGCCTGGATCAGTCTCCGTCTTATCATAATAACATGTTGTCACACAATACCTTAATCGGGCAAAAAAACTGAAATGCAAAAATAAAAATTTAAATTTTAACATTGTTCCGAAAGAAAATTGCAAATACAGTAAACTACGGTTATAGCGAACATGCTTATAACGAACTGACGGATATAACGAACTTACTTATTTGGTCCCGACTATTTGCTGTAGTTATTATGTATATATGCTTATAGCGAACTACGGTTATAAAGAACTAAAATTAGTAGTCCCCATGAGTTCGTTATAACCGTAGTTTACTGTAGTGACTGCGACCAGTCTACAACTAATGTGTGCATCTTTGCTAAGAGTTTACTCGGCCATCTTCGACCAATAATATGAAGAGGAGGCCGATTGGATGATATTCAACTAGTCCTTTGTAACTGCTGCGACTTGCTCTCACATACAGCTGCAAAAGTTTGGAACTGGTGATGTACTTCTTGCTAGTTTTACGAATTTTCATCATCCAAACGTCTCATAAACATTACCTGTTTGTATTATTCAGAATATATATGTGTTTAATATCAAATTACCCAAAACATCCCAGTGTAATCGATGAAAATCCTGAAAATTATAAAGATGTGGGATTTTTACACAGGACTATAACAGTTATTCATCCATTTTGACTGGGCTATTTTCTATGAAGAATGTCATAGCTAACCCTACCATGGATATTTACAATGGAACCAGCATCTCCAGTCGGTCGGATTTCTGTAAGCTGGTATCTACCATCAAAGGAAATATCTGCAGGGACGTATGTAATCGATGTTAGCTAACCTAATGACAAAACAGATAAGGATTTGGTTAGGTAACGGCCGTTCTCTCAGGCAGGTCAGCTCTGTAATCCGTGAACTAGTCTCCACTTCTGACATACCGGTCAACAAGTCTAAGGACGGATTACGTGACTGTTATAAGTTGAATTTCATCGGAGATAGACAATGTTCGCATGATTTCTGAAATATTCTCAAGTTAGTATCTATGCATGACGATCAATGCTATGCCTGGACAAATAGATATGTGTTTGTTGAGCAAAACTAGATGATCATATACATATTTATTTTTTTATCATGAGTGAGTGAGTTGTGTTTTACGCCGCTGTGAAGATTATTTTAGTTATTTCGGCGTGTCGGCTTAATGTGGAAGAGGAAAGCTCGAAGTCATACAGATCTCAGAAGAAGTCATACAGATCTCAGACGAAGTCATACAGATCTCAGAAGAAGTCATACAGATCTCCGACGAAGTCATTCATATCTCAGACGTTTACCGTTTTGGTAAAACACAAGCCTGAACATCTGGTTGAATCTTGGATTCCAACCAACGATTGCAGGATCATGACAAGTCTAAGGGACGCAACTATGCACACATTTAATTGAGTGATGTGACAGGAATCAGGCATACTGGTCATAGGATTCATTCCGACCTTCACCTCACTACAGGTATTATACATGATCGTCATTAAGGTACACGGATCGCGTACTGATCTAATTTGCGATACAATTTTACCTCCCTTACCTGTGTCAGGATCCGCTGGTCAGAGGATGGAATCCAAACCCGTGTTCAATGGCAAACGTGAGACCTTCTTCACTGGGGCTTTCCTTCCATATCATTTAACCCACCGTGATATAACCGAACAAAAACTCCTCAAAACAGTATTAAATACAACCCATTATCCCCGATTACATCAACATTCGTATCGTCTTACTCCAACAGCCGTATATTGTTCTATTATCTGTCGTTTTGGAACCCGTCTGTTTTATTTCTCAGTTGTCACCCGTGAAGATCCGGGTTAGAATTGATCTTCATCAACCCATATTTTTTAAAGGTGACTAACGGGGTCGGGTGTCCTGGCTCGCTGACTGGTTTGTTGTACGTCATCATTTATCATCTAAAACTGCTTCCCACAGGAGATCTCGCTTGGGTGGGATCAAGCGAGATCTACATTGTAGATATCGCTTTTATAAATCACTTCTTCTTTTCCGCGTATTCCGATTTAAGAATGATATTGGATGATAAATAAAATCTCACCCTCGTGTCTTTTGATGTCAAATATATCAAGCCTCGGAGTTTTTCCACTTTCATCAACTCGGGCGTGATTCTCTATATCCCAGTTCCTAGGTCTATGCTCATGATGTCAATCACTGGGTTGTCTGGTCCAGACTCGATGATTTACTGATCGCCATCATACAGCGGGAATATTGCTGAATGCGGCGTCAAACAATACAAAACCTTCATTTGTCAGTGATATATTCTCAGGACTTGAAAGGTAGGTAGAAACCAGACTACCGTTGAACGGTTTTTCCACTTACACTTACATGTTATGCTCATTGTGTTTGATTGAAATCAAACCCGGGGTTTCGCCATCACGAGCAAACACAATCAAACTAGTTGTCAAATATTACGTGAACCGCACCTAAAATCCTCCGCCGCTCGCGCCGTGTTAAGCTGTACCTGTTACACGGCAAAAAAGAGCATGACTGTTATCTGACTCATCAGTGACAAAAAAAAGTGTCCAATGTAGTTCCCTCTTTTAACTTGTACAATATGTTCCCGTGTTTCTTTTTAGGTGAACAATTAACATGAACATGAAATGATTATATGATGGTGATGTATTTAATACAGGTATACTCGTAATAGTTGTGTTTTGGATCTTAGGTTTGCAGTGTTTTGGCGACTTTTTATAGCCTAGTTTTGATAACGTTTGTAATGTTTTGGTCAAATCCAACTGTCAAGTGTATAATTACTTCTGCCCGCCCGAGAATTTGAAGGAAAAGACCTGAAAAAACATGACAACTACAGTACTGTCAGGATAAACAACACATCATTTATTCATTTTTGACATCATGAAGATACTGATAATGTTGGTATGCTACGATAGTGAGCGTGATTGTACAACGCATTTAGCAAAAACCTAGCAAAATATAGGAAATCGATCAACTGTTTTCATCCCTAGGTAATCAAAACGGAAAAAAGCATCTTCCCGAGGCAAGGGTGTTAACTGACTATAAAAGTCCAGTTTCCACCCTTGCCGAACTAGGCTGGAATTCCAGAGTTACATTTTGGCTGGACTAACGAGTCTCATTCGTGACCAACTCGTGTTATTCCGGGACAAGCCGAATAGCGACTGGTGCCCCTCTCATGGCCATTTTTGCGACCGTATTCCGTCTTAGCGCAAGCAAACAGGCATACCTAAAACCATTGTCAACTCCTTACGTAATGGTTCACATATATTTCCCCATATATCATATATATTTCAGCTACAAAATAAAGCACATCTGGACATGCGGAATTATACAGTATGATTAAACACATTGAACTGTGTCTTGGGTATATTTTTAGATGCAAGACATATGAAAAATCAAAAATTATATCTGAGGGATTCTTTGACGAAGAACTTGAAATCATACGCGCATTCTGATTGGTTTGTCGTATTTTCGCACATAACATTCATCGAGAGGGGGACGAGTCTTCTTGCAGGTTACGGAAAGGTGCGAGTGGTGACGAATGTAACGAGTCTATGCATAGTCTAAATCAAAATCGCGTAACCAACTGGACATCCGGTTCGAAAACAACGTGGATTTCAATGGGCAGATTTCGGTCGACTGAAGGATTTGCAAAGCATGTATACC